CATACATACATACATACATACATACAGTATAATTTGGAATAAAAGATTCCATAGAACTTTCAAACGGTGACATGTAACATTAATACATTAAGAAAACTAGTCTTCCATTTGTACTGGTCATTAAGTTAGGGTGTCCTTCACTTTGATCATATCTATGTTCAGAAAGCAAGCCTTTTCAATTTTATTTTTTTTTAATATTTTTATTATATGTTAGTAAGAGTTGTATGTTTCCCATACAAATTCCTAGACGGTCTATGTGGTTGAAAAGAAAATGGTTTCCAATCATACTTACTATCATAACAAAAATGAAATCATTTTCATCAGGAATATAAATTACTTAAACATCAAACCTTGTAAAAATAGTGTCTGATGTAGTGTTTAATACCAAATGTTTATTGTTGTTGTTGTTGTTGTTGTTGTTATATGCCGTTGAGTCACTTCCAACTCACTTTGACCCTGTATAGAGTTTCCAAGGTTTTAAGTCTTCTGCAGAACAAAAAGCCTCCCTCCTCTGTCTCTCTCGGAGCAGTTGGCAGGCTCAAACCACAGACCTTTTGGTTTGCAATCCAGTGCTTATCATAGTGAGCCACAGTGCTCCCACCAAATATTTGATGACAGAAAATGCACCTTTTAAGCTTCTTGTTAATATTAATATCAATTGGATATTAATGATAGTCTCTTATGCTGAATAAATAAACAACTGAATGAAGTTTACTGGCCATACTATGAATGTACAAGCCAACTAAGTAGTCACGTTTTTCACAAAATAGTCTGACAACTTGGTAAGATGAAGCACATGTGAAAATAAACTTCCCCACTGGGGGACAGGGAAGGTGAGAAATAGTTAGGTGGGGGTCTGCTTCGATTCCTGCCAGCATATCCAGTAGCTGTATCCGCTGGAGTGCTCTCCAATGAAATGTCAAATGTGCTAATCAGATACCTCATACAGCTGATACGTGTTCAATGTCATATTGCTTTACAGCTTGTCTTAACTGTTGGCTTGTTAGCTGTTGTCGTATACCTATACACTGTTGTGGCATTCAACTTTTTCCGAAAATTCTACAATAAGAGTGAAGATGGTGATACACCAGATATGAAATGTGACGATATGTTAACGGTAAGTTCATACATTTTGATCTCATCAGAATGAAAAAACAATCTTGTGCTTTTGTAGCCTAAACAATTGTCTGTTTATCCATTAACAGTATGGAATAGAAACTATACACGCTGTAAAAATTGTGACTATATACAGGCTTTCTTATTTCCCCCCCAAATTTCCCTTTTCAGAGGCGCATAAAGGACCCATGTGTGCCCATCCCCTACATCTGCTGGATCAACCTGACAATTAATGGAATTCCTAAGAGAGTTAGCACTTGGGAGGTTTAATGCCACTAGTTAGCGTATTGTTCAGATAGACAGGGCAGCAGGTCACACCATTTTCTTGGTGAACACGAGGGGCAACCTTGGTTGGTTGTTTGCTTAATGTATCACTTAATAGAACTATTCGATGATGCTTTTATGTGGGGTACCCTATGTTAAAACATTCATATTGCTTTATACAGGTATAACTGTTGTGCAACCTGCATCTCCGATAAGAGACTTGACATGGAGTAGATCTTAGATCTAGAAGGGAGCAATTAGATGAAATACATAGTAACCAGAAAGAGAAGGAGCCTTCACTGAGATCTTAACTGAAATATCTATATAATTGGAGTTATGGGTGTAATTAAAGGAGTTAAAATAATGATACTAACGTCACTCTGGGAAAGGCAAACATTCTGAAAGAGTTATGAGAGAAAGCTACCAGTATTATAAATATTAACTATTTGAAAATGACAAAGCAGTATAACAGAATACTGTGTCTAGGAATAATGACAATGTATAGAATTTTGAAATAATGAAATATTGTTGTTGTTAAGTGCCGTTGAATTGGTTCCAAACCATAGCGACCCTGTATAGGGTTTTCCGAGGAGCAACTGGTGAGCTTGAATGACTTTTGCGGTTCAGACCGACCATGCAGTGCAGCACATTAACTCACAGTGCCACATCACGACAATGAATGATATTGGCGTCGTGGAAAAGCTGTTTGCAGGAAAATAGTAAAAAAAAAAATATATATATATACCAGTCTTGTTTTTGCATAAAAATAAATTCCAAATAGAACAAAAAATTTCAATGCAGAAATAAAATACAGATAATTGCAATTTTTAAAACAATGTTTCTTTATGGTGAAACATTTTTCTGAATTCAGCAAAGCCCAGGATTCATGAAAGCAGAAAATTCTAGTTCAGAAGAACAACTACGTACAAGAGTTTGAAAGGCAAATGACACACTGGGGAAAATGCATTCAATACTGTTAAAAAATGGGCCAGTTTGCATAATTTGCAAAATCCTTGTCTTTTCAGTAATAAGAAATAAGCAGGCCAGTAAGGAAAATGGACAAATGATCTAATCTGACAATTCGTAGTAAAATCCATGTGGTTGGCTCTTAAACATGAAAAGACAGCCAGCTCTATCACAACAAAAAATAGCTCAGCTTCTATCATAATTAATGCAAAGCAAAGAATTACCATTTTTTACCATTTTTTCCTATCAGGTTTACAAAATACTAGTTTGTTAATACCCAGCATTAATGAATTGATGGGGAAACGGGCATTCTCATGAATGCTTGTTAGGAATTAAAATTGGTATGCTTTTAGGATTTTTTTTTTTAATTTCTAAATTATCCCCTACTCTTTAAAACTTTACACCACTTTGCTTTTGAAAGACTTACATTGCTGTTTTCACTAACCAAAAGAAGATTTTCACTTTTTAAAAAAAAGATTAGAAGTAAAATTAGTGTTCATCATTTGTCTTTCAGAAAGCCTCTAAGGAGATAGCATGTACCCTGAGCTTCTCCAAGCTCCTTCCCTAGGATCTTAAGTGTACACAATATTTTTATTTTATACTGCCTGAGTGGGTACCCGTATTTCTCCTGTCATTGCTGCGTTTACTCTATGTTACCTTCATTTTAGACTTCATGTGTTACTTGGCATGATTTGGTAGGCTATTTTGGGGTCTTTGCTGTCAGGTGCCTTCAAGTTGATTCTGACTCATAGCAACCCTGTACACAACAGAATGAAAACACTGCCTGGTTCTGCACAATCCTCACAACTGTTGTTACACTTGAGCCCATTGCTGCTGCCATTGGGCCAATTCTTCTTATTCGGGGTCTTCATCTTTATTGCTGACTGTCCAGTAAGGCACAATGTCCTTCTCCAGGGAACAGTCCCTCCGGATAATGTTAGAAAGTTGAGAGACAAAGTCTTGCCATTACTTCTAAGGACATTCTGGCTGTACTTCTTCCAGCACAGATTTGTTTGCTTTTCTAGCAGTCTTTGATACTTTCAGTATTTTTCTCCAACACCGTAACTCCAATGTTATCTGCTCTCATAAAAATGTATAGCAGGGGAAAGTCTGTAGTCAGAATCAACTCAATGGCATTGAGTTTGTTTTAAGCAAGATTAGACTTACCCCAGCTCTGTGTGTGCTCCTCCCTCCTCCTGCCAGGAAATTGCTCTCCTATTTTCAGAAGAGCTGATTTAAGTTCTCTTTTTAAACAGGATAAAAAAAAACAAGATTTCTGAAAACGAAAGAAATGACATGGATGACAAAGCATACTGATAGTATACGCTGAAATGATGTACATAAAATGAAACACACATCTTTCTCTCTCCTGATTTTGGGTCCTTCTCCCCATAGGAGGCTTGCAGTTTCTTATGCATCCTTTATATCCTTTCAGAAAAATTGTATACATTTTCCAAACTGCCTAATGTGCATTCTAGTGTGTGTGATCTTACAGTTAGGGTCAGATCATATAACTCTGTTCAGGACCTTGCTTTTCATTTAAAATTTAAATACAATTTATATGTCTTTCCATTCAGCATATTCAAATTAACTCATTTTAAAAAGCTTTGTAATTTTGATGATATGTACTTACCATAACTGATAGCAGTGGAACTGGGAAGTCAAAGACAACATACATTTAAATTTTTATAGAGAAACTGGTTTCTCCCTCCTATACAAAAATAAAGAGTTTCTATACAACTTTTTGTAACCCCAAATGAAGTAACATAACGAAGCCATTACCCTCAATTTACATGGGACAATGCTTTGAGGGTTCCCACACCCACCTCTCATCTGTCAGTTTGTCATACTGTGGTGGATTGTGTGTGGCTGTGATGCTGGAAGCTATCCCACAGGCGTTTTAAATAAGAGCTGGGTCAATCCTGCAGGACGGGTTTCAGCTGAGCTTCCAGACGAAGACAAACTAGGAAGAAGGAGAGGTAGACAAACAACTCTGCATGTTTAGCCACTGGAAACTTTCTGAATAGCAGTAGAACATTGTCAGCTGTAGTGCTGAAAGATGAGTCCCTCAAGTTGGAAGCCCACTGAAAATACGGCTAGGGAAGAGCTGCTTCCTCAAAGGAGAGTTGACAGTGATGATGTGAACTGAGTAAAGCTGTCAGGACCTTCATATGCTGATGGGGCACAACACAAAATGAGGAGAAACAGCTATAAACATCCATAATAATAGCATAGAACGGACATCGTATGAATCTAGATACATTGGAAGTCATCCAAAATGAAATGGGATGCATAATGATTGATATCCTAGGCAATAGTGAACTGATATGAACTGGTATTGGCCCTTTTGAATCTTACAATCAAATGAAACAGGAATGGCATTGCATTCGTCATCAAAAAGAACATTTCAAGATCTATTTTTAAGTATAATGCTACCAGTGATAGGATAATATCCATATACCTACAAGGAAGACCACTAGGCTACCAGAGCTCCTGGGGTGGCGCTGTGGGTTAATGCGCCAGACTGCAAAGCCGTTTGAACTGCAAGGTCGGTGGTTCAAGCTCACCAGCTGCTCCTTGGAAACTGTCTACAGGGTCGCTATGGGTCAGAATTGACTCGACGGCACTTAACAACAACAAGGAAGACCAGTTAGTACCACTGCTATTCAAATTTACACACCAACCACTAAATCCAGTGATAATAAAACTGAAAAATTCTGCCCAATTCTTCCGTCTGAAATTGACCAGACATGCAATTACTGGTGATTAGAGTGTGAAGGTTGGACACAAAGAGGCAGGGTCAGTAGTTGGGAAATATAGCCTTGGTGATAGAAACGGTGCTGGAGATGCATGATAGAAATTTGCAAGACAAGTGACTTACTCATTGAAAATACCTTTTAAACATCATAAAAGTTGATAATACACCTGCACCTCACCAGATAGGACATATGGGAATCAAATTGACTACATCTCTGTGAAGAGACTATGGAAAAGCTCAATATCATCTGCCAAAACAAGACCAGGGGCTTGTGGAACAGGACATCAATTGTTCAGTGCAAGTTCAGGCTGAAGCCAAAGAAAATTAAAACAAATCCAAGAGAGACAAACTATGAACTGGAATGTATCCCACCAGAATTTAGACACCATCTCATGAACAGATTTGATGTACTAGATACCAATGATTGGAGACCAGAAGCGCTTTGGGATGACATCGAGAACATCATACAGGAAGAAAGAAAAAAGTCATTAAAAAGACAGGAAAGAAAAATTTGGAAATTGTCAAAGGCTTCATTTTGCAATCAACATAATCAACACAAATATAAGCAGCAGCCAAGAAATCAAACGATGTATTGCATTAGGCAAATCTGCTGCACAGACTTCTTGAAAGTGTTTATGAGCAAAGATATCATTTTAAGAACTACGGTGCCTGACCCAAGCCACAGTCTTTCAGTAATCTGAGAAGCTGAATTATAAGAAGAACGTGGCATCACGATTGGAGGAAGACGCCTCAACAACCTGCTATTTGCTGATGATACCTATGCATGTGAAAGTTGGACAATTAAGATCTCTGGAAACTGAGACAGACAGAAACCTGTCAGAGAAGGAAAACTTAAATGTTTTATATAGAGAGTGATGGAGTCCTGGTGTGGCACTATGGGTTAATGCGCTGGACTACAAGGTCAGTTTGAACCTCAAGGTCAAAGGTTCAAACTCACCAGTTGCTCCTTGGAAATCCTAAACATGGTAGCTCTGGGTCGGAGCTGACTCGAC